TTTAGGGTCTGGGGGTTTAGGGTTTTGGGATTTAGGGTTTAGGGTTTGGGGTTTAGGGTTTAGGGGTTAGGGTTTGGGGTGGGTTCTGCCTGGACAGCAGTTTGGCTCCCAGCGAAGCAGCGACGGCGAATTGACGGCACCCGCTTGGAGCAGGACCCCGGCGACGCGCACGCCGCAAGAGGGCCCCACCTTCATCAAGGGCTCCTCTAAAGGGTCGTTTCGCTTACGGGTTCTCTCCAAAGGATCCGATAAGGGCTCTATGAAGGTGCTAAGGTTCCCTTTAAAGGATCTTGTAAGGGTTCTATCAAGATACTAGATTTCAAGGCTTCCAAAAATAGTGGAGCCTTTGAGTTTTCCTGTCAGGGATCTATCAAGAAAAAGCGTCGGGTTCGGGGGTTTAGGCTTTAGGCCTTCCCCTTAGAGGATCCTATAAGTCTCTAGACGGGACATAATGTAGGGGCCTCAATGGTTAGCATAGGGTTTTGGATTAGATTATACTATAATTTTAATCAGATACCCCCAAAATAATATAGGTATTAAGGCTCTAGACGGGACCCCACAGGAGGCCACCACCGGGTTCAACAGAGAGAGTCTTTGGGTTTAGGCTCCAGGGTCTTGGGACTTAGGAGGAGTTTACGGCTGTGCGGCATGGAATTTAGAATCTTCTGCAGGCTGTAAGGCAAATGACTCTACTTTGGCCTAAAGCTCAATGCCTTCAGCTCGAATCCGAAACTCATCGCAGGACGCGCTGCACTCCTGAACCACCTCATCCAAACAAAAAACGCACAAACAAGAAACCAGAAACAAGATGAAACAAGTCCCACCTCAATCACCGGCGTGCCGGCCGTGGGCACGAGCGTGGCCATGCCCAACCCCAGGAGCACTTGACCGCCCGCTCTCTCATTGAAACCTGCGTAAAGGGCACTAAAGCACTGGCAAAACTCCAACCCTGATACCCTACACCGCTGTGTGATATGCCTTAGGCCCCCAGACTCAACAGTCTAACATGGAACTGTTCCTCGGGGCTTCAAAGTCCCCTAAACCCTAAAAGCTAAACCCTCGAAAAAACGAAACATCATGAAACACAGAACCAGACACAACCCCGAACTACGTCGGGTGATGACAATGATGATTTGTCGTGGTGCAAAGAGATACCAAAGAGTCCCAGATCCTTGAACTCTGAACCCCGAGCCTGAATCTCAACTCCGCCCTGAGGCACTGACCGGAAGCCTCAGCCCCAAACCCCAACAACATGGCCCGAAGTCAACAACTCTGGGGCCGAAACCAGAAATGTGAGACCTCGAAGCCCGAAAAAGCCTTGCGAATGCATGCGCAGGGACCAGCTCAAACAACCATGGCTTCTGTTTGGATTCTCAGTCTGGATCCTGTAACAATTCGGAAGGCGCTCGAATCTGGTTCTTGCTCACCTACTCAACCCTAGACGGCCCGTGTAGCAGTAGACCGTCAAAGTAGCCCTGATGCAGCCCTTTTACCTAAACCCCAAACTATGACCCCTAACCCCTCAAGCCCACAAGCCCTAATCCCTGAACTCTAACCCTGACCCCTAAACACCCTAAACACCCTAAACACCCTAAACACCCTAAACACCCTAAACACCCCAAACACCCCAAACACCCTAAACACCCTAAACACCCTAAACACCCTAAACACCCTAAACACCCTAAACACCCTAAACACCCTAAACACCCTTAAACCCTAAAGCCTGGATGGAAGGCCGAATCCTAAACCTTAAACCGTAAGGTT